CGGGGGGGGGGGGGGGGGGGGCAGGCTAACCAGGCTCAGTCCTGGCTTGTGTTTGGTCAGGGAGCTGTCCCCGCTGCGGCTCTGCAGTTTAAATCTAGAAAGCGCTGGGCTGCCTGCCCACCTGGCTCTTACTGCATTAAAATGCAGAGCTGCAGCAGAGGTAGTAGTTCCCGGACATGGTGTGAGCCAGGACAGAGCACTTCTTCCCTTATCAACGAATTATGTAGTCAGTCGAATTTTTATCGACTACACAATTAGCAAATTACTGCCTCTTACCGTCCTTACTCCTCAGTAGGGACTATTGGTAAATAGTTAACCAATAAGCCATAGGCTTACTGGTCTACCCTGCCTTTCTGGTGAACACAGGAGACAGGATACGGGGAGACAAACAGTGTGGAGCTGCTGGGGAATCAGATAGGGAGGTGTTCCTACGGAGTAGTAGGGGAGGACAGGAGAGGAAAGGGAATGGAGGAGGGGGGAATGGAGGGAATGGGAGCTCTGAGGGAGATGTGCCTGACTGAATGGGAGAGGCTAGGGTGGGCCAGACAGCAGGACCTCATGATAGGCGTAGAGTTAAAATGGTTAACCAGTTAATAATGTTAATATCCCTAATCCTCAGTCAGCTCTTTTAATTCTTGGATACAAGTTACCTAGATCTGCTGATTAGAAAAAAAAAAGTCTTAACTTTAGTAACTGCTGGTTAATGTTCTCCTGAGATATTAATGGAAGGAAAAGTATTCTCATGACTACATCTGTTCTTCCCAGCTATAGAACAGAAGTACTATGGAACATAATTATTATTGATAATTCTACAATTTCCATCTATCAATGGACCAATACCGTTATGAATCTTTGTTCCTAATATACTTTAAAAATCCCTTATTGCCCTTAACTCTGCTGATAAGATTCCTCTTTATGTCCCTATACTTCCCTTGTCAATTTTTCTAGTTCCCATATTGATTTGTATTGATAACCATCAACTTCATTTCTTCCATTTATATATTCTTATATATAAAACTAATATGGGCTTTTTCCTCAGTTGTGGCTAGTAAAGTATTCTTAACCAATTTCCAATTATCACAAAAAAAATTTCTGAATAAATTCTTCCTCCTCGCTAATCTGGCTCAATTGTTTTCAGCATTGTGAAACTGGTCTTTCAAAAGTATCAAGTATACATGCCAATACTATGGACTTAATTCCGTTTATCACTAAAACTGCTGTAAGATTTGTTCTTTATGGTATTTTTTCTAGAATAAATTTGTTTTTGAACTTAAGAAATACTAATGTAGTTGGGAGCATCTTGTATGAGTCAAATGTGGTTTGGCAGCTCAGCTTTTCATTAGGTGTGGGCTAAAGATACTTGCTTGGTATCTGGATATACAATACCTAGACTGGACCACCACCTTCATACTACTAATCATAAAAGCGTTAAATTCATAACAAAACCAGCTTTCACGAGTTGGAATCCCAGTGGTGATATTAACAGGCACAAACAGAAAACAACGTTTTAAATAGCCCAGTGCCAATCTCCTCTTTTATAGCTGGGGTTTCAGTTCTATGGACTCTGATGTCACAAACCGCCCTCGAGACGGGCTGCCAGGGACTGCCGCAGCTCTCAGGGAAGGGAAACGACCTTTACAAGAAACTACCGCCCCAGGCAGCTTCATGCATCGCCTTGAGCCTGGCCGGTCGCCCGTGCTGCTTGTCTTTACAACTGACCCCGATCAGGTAGTCCCCCCCTGCCGGGATTGAAGGGTCTTGCGTGTTCCTTACCCCAGGAACAAGGAGCCTGTCTGCTCGAGTCAGAAGAGCCGGGGCCAGCCTCCTACCCCTATACCGTAGAGGCCTCTGCCCCAGCGACTGGGCAAATTTATCTCCCAGTCTGACACTGGGTGGGGGGCGGATAGGGCCCGTTCAGCCCTGAAGTGGGACCCTAGGTCCGGCTCTGAGCATCAGTCTCCGCCCGTTTGAGATCTCCCGCTCTCTCGTGCTCGCGCGCCTAGTGCCCGCGCCGCGCGCCCTTGCCCCGGGCGGCGCTGTGCCCGCGCCCCTGCGCGATGCAGTGTGGGAATGGCTGTGGCGCTGGGGTTGGCTGAAAGAGGCGGCCAGTCGAGGTTTAATGTCCGCCATGTTGGCCGTGGCGTACTGAGCATCAGTCTCCGCCCGTTTGAGATCTCCCGCTCTCTCGTGCTCGCGCGCCTAGTGCCCGCGCCGCGCGCCCTTGCCCCGGGCGGCGCTGTGCCCGCGCCCCTGCGCGATGCAGTGTGGGAATGGCTGTGGCGCTGGGGTTGGCTGAAAGAGGCGGCCAGTCGAGGTTTAATGTCCGCCATGTTGGCCGTGGCGTACTGAGCGGAGCCGGAGCGGCGGAGAAGAAAAACCAGCGCCCAGCCCAGCCGCGCCAGCAG